GGGCCCTGCGGTGGCGGGTGGGGCTTGCGCTGGCGGGCGGGGTCGCGTCGCCGGGGAGGATCGTGACAGCCGCGCCGGGCGCCCGCGGGGTGGGAGGGCGAAGCTTGCCGAGGTGCGGCGGTGGGAGCGACTGTTGGGGGCTGCGGCGGCCTTCAGGTGCCCTTGTTCAGGGGGAGCGGAGCTAGGGAGTGACAGGCGCGGCCAGGGCAGCCCCACGCCGCGTAGGAACGGCGGGGCAGAGGGTGCCGGCTCATCAGCGGGCCTATGGCGGCCGTACCCAGGGAGCATTTCTCCGTTGGAGAGTTTAAGTAGACATACTCCACGTGGGGATGGGAGGCTGAAGCGCGGCTTTCGGCAGTACTTAGAGGGAGACCCATGCCCAGGGCTACTGCCCTTCCCGAGAAACTACTAGTCTTCTTTTCAGGATCCCCCTCCTCTAGTCTTGGCAATGGCTTGTGAAGTCCTTCGCCTAGGAGCAGCCGCGGACAGCAGCTCTGCAGCCAGCCAGGGTGATGCTGGTAGTGTTTGCTGGGAGCGCGCTTGTTGGAGGTAGCCCTTTGCTCCTCACAGCCCACAAAACGCCTTCCCCACAAGGGCCAGCCGTTGCGGAGCACTGGGGCCATGGCACACTGCCCTGCAAACCTCTGCAGGGCTGCTCTGCCATTTCTCACAACTCTTTGAAGCTCTGAACGTATTACACCTAACATGCTCTCCTGTTTTTACCCCAAAAAGACCCACAGACACATGGCAAAATCCAGCAGCATGGCTGACCCACAGCTGATCTGATAGCTTGTACACCATCTAATGAGGTTTGCTGCCTCTTTCAGACAAGTGCCACAGTCTCTCTCCAGTTGCCTAAGCTCCATTTTTACCTTCCTGTCAGCTCCACCAGAAGACTGCGTGTCTGGTCAGGAGAAGCAGTAACCCTCAGAAAGCTTTCTTACTGCTGTCCTGATCATAAATCAGACATCTTGGAGAAAACAGGCTGTTCTGCAGCAGTCACTGCACACTGCAGCAGGAATCACTGAGTCACCAGTGCAGACCACTGCTGGGCCAAGGAACTGCAGGATAGGCATTTTTGACAGTCATAGTTCTCCCTTGCTTTACATGTATTATAACATCAGAATTCTTCAAGAAAGTAAAAATATTTTACAAATACAAATTTTATTTGAATAGTAAGAAAAATAATCATCCAACACTACCAGTTTACCAGAACACATGGTACAACAGTAATTTTCCAGGTTATTAATAAGAGAGCAGATTAACAGCAAAGCCCAGCATAATGCCAGTCAGCACCTGCTAGTTATATCAAAAGATAAGCAACTGATATTTTTTTTTGGTGTAAGTCCAATATTTTCACATTACAACACCCAACAGGTTAGTATGTTTCATTTTGATATTTTTAAATAAACACTTGGCATTCCACAGGGGATGTGTATTGATGAATCAAAAAGGAAAATCACATGCTGAGACAATAAATAGCAGTAGGGAAAAAAAACCTTAGTGTATCTTATTGTGCATGGGAACATATATCGGGAATATATAGAAGTCTGATTAAGTAAAAATAGATTGTGGCATGAGTTGTTCGTTATTTAAAGACATTTATTATTCATACCCATAGTATAAATCCATTCTGAATAAAAGTTTAATTACATGAGACATCAGCTTTTTACCTTTTTTTTTTTCTTTTAAAGATTAATGTTTTAGTCATGGTTTGGCTTTATTTTTAGCAATCCAGGAAAGTACTTACTGCCTCACCCTGAGCAAAAAAAAAAGCAATGAATCACTTGCTTTGTGAGACAAAGCAGAGACAGAATCTGAGCCAGACAGCAGCACACAAACTCCTCTGCATTAACATTCCAGGCTTCTGTAGAAACAGCCTCTCACTCTCACTTGTATAACCATGTCTTATTTCCCACAGCATATCTGTTAAAGCTTAGAGCACCTAGAAAGGCACCCCTTCAGTCCTGCAATAGCAAGCCATCTAAATTATTTTTGACCTTTCTTAGGTCTCATACCATTCAGTGCACACACACCCTATGCAGGTGTATTCACTCCAAATGGGCTGATTTTCTGTTGAAAATAAGCAGCGCTTGGTTTTTGTGCCACTTGCTTTGCAACTATTACACTTTGTTTGAATATACCCATGTATATGCATAACTGACATCACAGAGTCTTGTTCTACTGGTGCATTTGGAAAAAAAACCCACACACATCATTACATAAGTTTACTGCCATTTGAAAACAAACTCTGCTTATCTCTCCATACATTATCATCACAAGTAATGTATGTGATCAACAAAAAGAGAGCAAGTGGATACAGTGCCTATCAGTGTCCATCAAACATCTTAGATAAGTTTATGTTAACTTCTAACAGAAACTGAAGTCATTGTCTGTCTTTCCCCTCCAGATGCAGACCTTCAAGTTGAAGACTCAGTGGAAAAGAAACCTTAGCAAAAGTATAGCAATGAACAACTAAGTAAAATAGGACTACTCATTCTGAAACAAGTTGACCTAAGGGATATAGCAAAGATTATGAAAGTATAACCAGCAGGAAAAAGGTGGAAAATAGTTGAAGCTAGCAGGAAACAAGTTCAGAACAAGCAAAGCAAAGGGATTTTTTCCATCAAAGGAATGCCATTCAGTGGAATTAACTGCCACAAGAAGCTAAGTGTTTAAATGGACTCCGGGGGAAACTAGACAGGTCTGTGTAAGAGAAATGCCATGAGGATTGCTAATTACTAATCCATTCAATCATTATGTATGGCTGTATGGCCTCTCTGGAGTCAGAAAATCCCCCAACTACAAATGGAGGTATCATTTAAGCTTACCCTTTTTTTTTTTTTTTTTTTTGGCACACACTGCCTAAATAAGTGCTTAATTCATCATCTCAGAAGCAGGAATATTATGCTAGCTACACCTCTTGTTTGATGCCATGCAACTGCCTTTATGCAAACCAGGCATCTGGAAAGCCCTAGGAGAGCAACCGGGTCAGGCCCATAACTGCCAGCATCCTTTAGCCTGACAGAATTAAAGCCTTTTAATTTTTTTTTTTTCCCAAGCACTTTTATATAGTTTTCTTTCAGTTTAGCTTGAATGATTAGGAAGAAGTTTAACTTAAACCAGATACAAAGATACACTTCAACAGGTCAACACAGAAGCCAACACATTTAAATCACCTGAATCAGATGCATACGCAGATAATCCCTTAACTCAGAAGAATATCAACGAATAGTAGCCTGTGAGTTTAGAGCTGAGAAGGCAAGCAGAAAACAAGTTTGAGAAAGCCAACGAGGAATCCACTCGTTTGCAGGCCCTACTAAAGCTAATGGAGAGACAGAGTACCCTACAGCTACATAGCTAACGAAAGCTGATTGCCCGCAGTTCTACAGCCAAAGCAAACTAAAAATCCAGTCCTTCTTGTTATGATCTGTGGATGCACTGTGCACTCTTCCAGTGCATGTTCAATGCTAAGGCACCCTATTCTCAAATAAACAGTGAGAGGGATGTAGAAAAGTTCTATTAAAGAGCAAGAAGAAAATGAAATGAAAACTAACCCACACAGAAGAGCCTGTACTTGCTTCTTACAGATTTATCTTTGGTTGACTGTAAATTCTTTCCCTTCTTCTTTCTGTTGCAGTTTCCATTGTCTCCAGATCTTTTTTTTTTTTAATCTTCAGTAGCTTAAGGAATAAACAACTTTTTAACAAAGCTAACTATTACCCGATAAACCTACAAACCTTCAAGTTTCCTGACACCCTGAAATAGGCTTCATTCCTTGGAGGAGACATGTCCTGGAAAGGGAGGAGTAATCAAGTAATCAGATGCTGATTTGTAAGCAAAACACAAACATTCATGCAAAACTCACTGAGAAACTCGAAGAGATATGCCCAGTGTTCCTAAATCACTTATGTGGAGCAATAGGTTTGAGTGATTGGTGCAACAATTCTTACCTGAATTAAATATGAGAACAACTACTCATTTCTGCTGTATTGTTGGCATTTCTGCACATGGTGCAGACTATAGCAGTTACTGTGTCAGACAGATACATGACACAGTTTTAGAGGTTAAAAATTCTTCAGTTATATCAAGTTTTTCATAAAAAATTGAATGAGGATTACATGCCTCAGAAAACTCAGTGCATTTTACAACAAAGAAATTACACTGCAGAGCAGCAGACCTCCAAGACTTTACTCACCTGGCTGAAAACAGTTTGCCTGCATAAAACTGATTCCTTCTCTCATTGTAAAGCTTGACCTGGTGAGGGACACAGGTGCACAAGAACAATGAACAGTGAACAACGTTTTTATGGCCTTGTCTCTCACCGAAGCCACTCCAGGGTTAAGCCTAAATTTTGTAAATAACACTGTAAAGGTGTGGGGGGAACAAAGTAAAGCTGAACCATGGAGGAGGAGGAACACCTGGAAGGCTGTGGCCAAGCCATTGCAAGTGATCTACTGTTGGAGAGCGGCTTGCAGAGAGCAAGGCCATAGCTCCCTGCAGGAGCTGGTCACAGCCACCTGAGGTAAACAGAGGAAAAAACCCAGGGTACAGTTATGCTAACAAGGAAGGAGATTCAGGGCTCAGTGATGCTAACAAGGTCTGTTATGATAACAAAGAGAGAAGTTGTGGCACATTATGGCCTTGGGGGTGATTTA